ATCCACAACGGCTTCATCCGCGAGACTAAGATCCTTGAACAATGGTGTCTTGTGATCCCGCCCGAATACCTTCTTGAATGCTTGGGCCTCCTTTGGCGTGAACCCCTCCTCATCAACTTCTTCATCGGGACCATCGTCATCCGAGTCCAATGCATATGCACGGGAAAAAGGGATGGATTGGTCCATTGTCTCTTGCACATGATATTGGTCGAGATCACCCACATTGTTGTCATGGAGGTCAACTTCATTGTCATCCTCCTCGTACTCATCATTCTCCTCTTCAAAACCTTCATTTTGGTTGTTTGGAGTCGGGCTCAATGTTGGCCAATCTTGTTGCGTGAATTGAGGTTCACTCATTTGATCTTGGTTCATGGGTGGGGGAGTGCTAGCAACCAACGGGGAGGGGTTCCGGTTCAAGTCTAAATTCAAAGTAGACTCAACCTTCTTGGAGGCAAATAACTCAAGAGCCTTGTCTAGAGATTCGGCAACCGTCTCCTTGTATGCAACCCAACGTTGCTCGGAGTTCACACGCATTGTCTTTCAATGGATGTGCATTCCAAAACCAACATTATGCCTTCCCTCGAACTCAACAACGTCACTTGGGTCCATCCAATTCAAATCTTTCCTCACTTGTTCCAAAAGCTCCGCATAGCTAGGACTACTCTCAAACACCATGTCAAGCTCATCCTGGTCCGTCTCAACATTGCCTTTCAAAAAGGCCTCTTTATCCACATGATGAACATAAACACATGTTCTCCCCATCCCTACAATAATAAAAAACACACATATATCAAGTAAGTACTTAAGAAAAATATTTTCACACATATGCCCTAACATATATATGAATTAATAACCCTAACCCCCACATAACAATTACCACAACCATAACCATAGCATAACCCTAACACCAACATCAAACACACATAACCCTAACACCAACATCAAACACACATAACCCTAACCCTACCATACTATGGAAGCCTAACCAACCCAAGTCAGCAAAGAAACATAACATCATTCAACACAAATTTGCAAATCCAAGTCAAAACTAGGGTTTTCCCAAAGTAGCAAGATTTGAGCAAATGTGACAATTCCTATGGATGAAAATGAGGGGATCGGAGGAGATTACCTCAAGGGAGGGGTTGGCTTCAAAATCCACGGTCAAATACTCCGGATTTGCAAGATTTGAGAAGGATTTGAGAGGGGGGAGAGGGGAAGAGAGGAGGGCCGCAAGTCTAAGGGTTTGGGTGGGGTGGGGTGTGTGGGGTGGGGGTGGGAGGGGAGAGAGGGTGGGGCCAGCCCAAGTGGAACACAGACTGTGTAGCGCCCAAGAGCTAGGCGCTACACATCACAGGTGTGGCGCCTAAGCCTTAGGCGCTGCAGTGCTGCCTGTGGGGCCACGACTGGACCAGGGCTGCCACGCTGGCAGGAGGTGCGACGCCTAATGGAAGGACGCTGCATAGTAGTGTGCGATGCCCAGCTGTCGGGCGCCACACGAAAGGGTCAGCAAAGCGAATTTTTTTTGGAAGCGGGTCAGTTTGTGATTTGATTTGGGCCTCAGGTCAAATATGTCATTTCTGCCTCCTGCATCGATTCCTTCTATGTGGTTTACTACGACAACAAGGTGGAGCGCCTGCACATGGTGGTTCGGCTTGTCAAGGTTGTTGGTCGTGTGCACAGGAGGGTTGTCAAGGTTGTAGGAGAGGCTGAGGAGGGCTATGTCAGCGGCAAGGTCCGGCGCGGCGGACGGGCCTTATGTGCTCCGAGGATGATTTTGTACTCGATTGCACAAATCGTAGCGCTAGGTGCAGGGATGGAACGGGGTGTCCTAGCGATCACGTTAGAGTGAGAAGAGAGGCAAAAGATCTACCAGGGAGTCAAGCATGAGGTGGCACGTCGCTGTGCTCGACAACTAGCTGATGGGGCTGGCGCGAGGTAGAAGAGAAAGGTGAGATGGACGATGATGTGGCGAGGTATATAGTCAAAATCATGTCAGCACTTCAGCAAAAAAAAGAACATGTCAACACAAAAGCATCCAGATTTCCTCAGTGATGAAAAAAAATTCGGTATCAATAATCGAGGGACTAAGATTTGTGGTTTTTTAGGGTAGTGGGTTTAAAATTGAGAGACCATTTATGTACTTTCTAGACAGTTGACGAAAAATATACTCTTTTTTTCTTGAGAGAAAAAGTTATGCTCGCACGGTGCGTCGTGGTTCCGGAAGCCGCGCAGTTTCCCTCCTCAACTACTCGCTGATGTTACGTCTCTCCTTTCGACCCGTTCTCGGGGCACGACCCTCTTCTGCCACTCCTTAGAGCATCTCCACTCGCGTCCCCAACATGCCCCCCAGGGCTTTTTTTAGCGCAGGCGCTGAAAAATCGGCCTAGTCTCGCCCCAGGGCCTTGTTTATCGAGGGTTTAGGCTGAAATAACAACCGGTGAACCCGAGCCGAACCCAAGCCCCTGGTGGTCGCTTGGCGGCGCCGACCGAAGCAAAAAGGCGCATGGGTCCGCTCTGTCGGCGAGAGAAGGCCCTTTTCCCGCCGTTTCCCTCGCTTTCCCCCCTCCGTTTCCCTCCATTCCCCCTTCTGTCCCTTTTCTCCCGCCATTCTCCTCCATCTCCCCTCCATCCGGCCACCATGCCACCGAAGAAGTACACGACCCCTCGCACCGCTACCGATGTCGATGCCACCCAACCGAAGTAGAGGAAACCGAGGGCGCCGCCGTCCAAACCACCGAGCATGTCGAACGCCGACTGAAAGACGGAGGTTCAGCGCCGGGAGGCTATCACCACCGACCGGCGGAATAGGATCAACGCCAAGAAGGCCCGGGAAAGGGCGGTGGCGGCGGCTGTGGCTGCGGCGGAGCAGGCGTCTCGCGCGGGGATGATGAATCCACCCGGCGGCCACGGCATGCACGCTCCCTGGAGCCAGCAGAGCGTCGGGTCGCCACAGCCCTGGGGGTGCTCGCCCTCTCCTGGCTACGCCGACGGCGACGCGCATGGCGGGTTCAACCCCAACATCACCTTCCGCATGGCCACCCGCCCAGCGCACGCCCTCGCCCGCGTTCGCCGGCGTCCAGTACCCCCCATACACTTACTTATCGTCGGCTTACGCAGCATCCCCGACGCCGCCTCTGCGCCATGGCACACTGCAGTTCTTGCAAGCCTTCTCGTCACATCTCGGCAACCCTGACGCGACGGAAGCTGACATGGACGACATCATCACGAGCGACTCGGCTGCCGCCGCCGCCTCCCCCTGGGTTCAATGCCGAAGACGATACAATGGACCTCACCGGCGACATGGACGACGAGCTCGACTATGGCAAGGAGGAGGAGGAGGAGGAGGAGGAGGAGGAGGAGGAGGAGCCGGCGCCTGCTCCGGCGAGGAAAGGGAAAAAGAAGAAGCGGGCGGTCAGGACCGGCGAGCCGTGCGTCAAGTGGGCGTCCAAAGAAGACGAGTGCCTCGCCGAAGTGTGGAAGACCGTCTGCCTCGACCTGATCACCGGCACGAACCAGAGCGCCGACACGTACTGGGATCGCATCAAGTCGGAGTTCGACGAGTGCAAGTTGGTCGACCCCTACTTCGCCACCATCCACATGAAGCGCGGCTCGAAGGCCATGGCGGACCATTGGGCGCTCATCCAAATGGCGTGCAACAAATAGCATGGGATCGTCGAGGAGGTCGCGGCTCGCCCGGAAAGCGGCGCCAACATCGAGGGTTAGGTATGCATAGACGCCGGTCTCTTGCTCATTTTCGTCCTGCGTCGCCGACACTCGTTCCTCGACGCGGATGATCCGGATGTTCGCCATGTACCGTCAGGACAGCAGCACCGACCAAGAGTTCAAGTACCTTCACGTGTTCTCCCCGATCGAGAAGTGCGAGAAGTGGCCGGACGTCCGGCGCACCCTCGCCAAGGCCAAGGAGACGTACAAGTCGGAAGCGTCGGCGCTGGGAGCGGCCGATGGGCGCCCGGACGACAACAAACGAGCCAAGTTAGCGAAGGACACCGCACCGGCTACCGGGCGGCTGCAAGCATCCATCTAGCAGTGCCTCGCCGACGCGAAGACCCACGCTGCCCAGAGGGAAGGGAAAACCGAGGCGTGGTGGTCGGCGTTGATGACGAACAACGCCATCAAGCTCGACCTGCTCCGGACCAACGTCGCCGCGAAGAAGAGGAACACCGACC